TAGCTAATTATCCATTTGTGGGGATTTACATTGAGTTGTATTTCATATAAGCCAGATTCTCTGATCATTTGTTCAGCATCATATTTAATAAGTATTATGTGAGGATACAACCCTCACACAAATCTTTCCTGATTTTAAACCATGCAGCATGCCCTTGTTCTATTTGCACAACTGCCTCTTGATCCATGTGCAAGTACCACACAAGCACAATGAAGTGTTCTGAAATTTCAGTGCTTCTCAAGGTTACCTATAGTTTGTTTTGATGTAAGCAGTCAAATGCCTAAAGAACCATGAGTAAATACCTCTGCTTTCATCAGCATCCATCTGACATTAGCAATGATATCCCTTTTTCTACATGCTTTTCTGAATCCAACCTGAACTTTTGACAACTCCCTGTCAAAGTAAGGCTACAACTATCATTGGATGATATCAGGAAAATTGTATGTGCATTTGATATCGTTCTGGAATCGGAGCATCTGTTGGAGCAAGCTTCTGTGGAATAAGTACAAATATGGATCTCTTATAGGCAGATGGGCCTCCACATTTCTTGGAGTAGATGAGTGAGTACCACCAGTGCTTCATCAGCTTATTGAAACATTTCCATTTGAAACATTTCATATATTTATTGTTCACCAATTAATTTCACCAACTTCAAAAGCAAGATTTCTGCATCAAAGTCCACTAACTCCAAATTCACAATTTTGAGAGAGCAGTCTCTGTTTCTTCTCACACTGTCCTATTTTAAGTTTACGGCCAAAGGAATATTCCAGTTTCTGTAATCTGCAACAGGCGTGTTTAAGCTAAATTGTACTTTTGAATAAGTCGTTTTACTAACTTGAGTTAGTGGAAGATATGGAAATGAATTAGAAAAAGGTGTTATATCTCTTAAGTTCAACATAATTATTATATGCACAAACATCTAAAATCATATATAGACCATATAAAACCATAACAACTACAGCCACTCCATACTTACTGACAAGACTACTTTCCATATGCCAGGTCATTATGCCAACTCAAAGACTGTTTATTAGAACTCATCAATAACAGTGGGAGACAAAACCTAAACTTCCCTTCCCAGAAAGGATCTTACAGAAACTTTTGAACAAAGAAGCTACAAAGAGTACACATAAGGTAAAGGATAGTTTGCCCTATGTGTGGGAAGGCACTTTGGCCAAAGTGAAAATACTTTGGCCCAAACTCATCTTTTCTTCAATATTTGTCCCTGTTGAACTCCCTTCCATTTAACACTGTATCTACCATTGAGGTTCGTTAAAACTTCTCTTTCTCTGTCTGCTAAAATTCAAAAAGAGCAACAATTAAATATTAAGATCTGGACAGATATTAGTGGGAATCAACTTGATGGCAGCCAACAACGACTTGCTTTTCTGATAGTCTAAAAAGACTAATGAAAAGTTAAAGCATTACAGCACTGAGAATATTGCTGAATAGCAAGGGGGAGAAGGCGTTAGGGACTAATTCTCTGTGGAATGATATGCCCTATGTCGTTGTGTCTTTATTCCCTCTGGAGTGCAGAGAGGAACATTTTCATTTCCAGTATGTTACGAGTAGCCTTATTTATAAAAGGAATAGATAGACGGGATAGCAAATTAGACAGCCTTCATACAAGTAAGTAATACATTAGCTCCATCATGATGAATGCTAAGATATCACAGAATAATCCAATATTATTTTCTAATATCTTTCCATATGCTTTATGACTGTACTGATCTTATTTCAACTGAGGAAATAACAGAAAAAGGGCCTTAAAAATTAAATTTGATAAAAATAATACTAGTAATTTAGGAAACAGTTTGAAAAAATATATAAGCTTTTAAAATACCAATGTATTAAAATGTGGAGCTTTTACATTATTTTATTGTTTTCATTATCCATCAGGTGAAGGTTTACAGGAAAAATCATTTGTTTTACATTCAATATTTCATACACATTTTGTTTCAACTCACCCGTTGCAATCTCTTCAGTGTACTATCATTTATTCTATTTTCTCCTAGTGCTTTCTACTTCTGTTCTTCCTTTGTTCCTAAGTCTCTCAACTTTATCATTGGATAAATGATGCCCTTTTGCTCTTAAACGGTTGATAATTCTACCATACGAGGAGAATTCCGTTCCTGAGGTTGACTATGGGGCATAGTCTTGGTGGGTCCCACCGTTCTCTTTCTAGCCAGTAAGCCTGGTCAATTTTATTTTAAAAATGAATTTTGGGGGATTCAACAAATGTTCTAAGTATCTGTTATGTGAAAGTCATCGTGTTTGTGTGGGCACAATGAATGAAGGCCATGTCTCTGGTTTTATGAGCTGACAGATGTAGAAAGGATTACAAATGCTTTTGTTCTAAGGTAGCAATGAAAGCCTCGCTAAGAACTACAATTACTAGGAAGTTAAGTAAGGTTATGCCTGGTGAGAAATTAGATAAAAAGTGAATGGAGGTGGTGATCTTGGTATAATTTTTGGAGAATGTCAGAACTTCCAAATCCATGTGAGTCCATGAACCAGAATATTATATATCACTGTATTATATACTTATTGTTTGCTTCCAAAATGAAATGGGAAAACTGTACTTTATAGTTCACCCTATTTTAATACTTATTCTGTAAAGTTGAATAAAAATGTATTACAGAAACATTCAAATAAAGAGACTACAAGCTATGTAAATAAGGTGAAGGATAATTTACTGTACATAAGCAAAGGGGAGTTCATGGAAATATTTTGCCTAAAATTCATCGCTTTTTTCCAAATTTGTCCCTATTTTATTCCTGCTTTCTTGATATTATACTCTATACATTATGACTCTATAATACTCCTCACTCTGATAACATTTAAAAAGAAAAAATAAATATTAATATAATATTCAGGGCACCCATTTACAGGAAGCATAGTAACACATATTGAGTTTTATGACAAGGTCTTTCTTCTCAGATTTTTTTCCAGATCTCTTTATCAGATAACAGGAGTCATGGAATTCAGTAACAGAGTGAGGATCTCGGAAAGGGTAAATTATTTTATCTTACACTGGACTTTAGAGAGGTAAAGCCTGTGACAACTTGTCAACCTATTCTTACACACATGTGTTCCCAGGAGTTAGGCGCAACTTAATGATAGGTAGAAATAAAGGTCAAGTATTCATGTGTAAGAAGTCAAATGCTTAAGATTATCATCTTCATGGGTGACATGTTCCACAGTCTGACATGGTTGTGTGATACAATGAACAATGCACTATATTTTAGTATGGTTTATGGAGCTGATTCATTAACTTATTTAAAACTTACTTTTCAGCTGAACTTTATATATGTGGAGTATATTTGTTGGTCTTGCAAACAATATATGATAGTTAAAAGGCCATATTGTGAATGCATTTTGTAATCCAAATAGTAGTAATTATACACATTATATGGTTTAAAAATATGTATAAATAATATATATGTATTTATTAGTGTGTCTTTAAAAAGCAGAGGATGTTCCACTTAAAAGCATTTGTTGAGTACCTACATTATACAAGGCATTTGGTATGAATAGATAGATAATAAATTCTGAAAATACATAGTTTTCTAAGAGTCTTATTCCTTGAAGGAGGGTAAAACAACCCCATCCATATAGTTACATTGCAAGTAACAATATGGAATGCTATTAAGAAAGCATATCAAAAACGGGAGAGAGAATTTCCTTCATCACAAGGCATTTATTAAACGTTACCTAACAGTGGGTTTGAAGCCTGTTGACTAGCAGCTCTATCAGGAAAACATGAGTTCTTCTTCATTAAAGTGTTTTACTCAAAGCTATGGGCTTTGAGTTTCTCATAGTCCCAGGTCACAACCACCAGCAGCTCCCTGGGAGAAAGACTGGGCTTTCTGCCCTTGCAAACCATTACAATCTCAGAAACACACGGGGGTTGGGGGAGGTGAGTCAGCATTCCCTGAATGACAGTGACTCTTCTGAAAGTATTCGGTTCCTGGTGAGTTCAAACTCACCAACTGCTCCTTGGCATAAAGATGTGCCAGTTTGCTTTTAAACATTAGCCACCTGAAAAACCCTGTGAGCAGTTGTGCTCTGGGCTATAGGATCACTGCGAGGTTCACTTGACTGGACAGCGGTGTGCCTGCGTCTAAATAGATGCCACGGAAAAGACCCAGCTTTCTTCTCACTTTCAGGCTGGAATATTGGGGAGAGCGTGTTTAGTAAATAACTGAGGCATACCGTATATTTGTTGGTCTCTCAGTGGTGCTAGGGTTTGTTCTTAACTATTAATTTAAAGGTTGACTTCAAATTTGCCCAGAACCTCCCTGGAGGAGAGGCCTGACATACATTTCTCTGAAAATTGCGTTGAAGAGAAGCCCGTAAGCTCATCTACTGTGTAAAACATGGAGTCTCCATGAGTTGGAATTGACTGAATGACAAATGTTTTTTGTTTCTTTGTTGTTGGTGGTGGTTTATTACAGATATATAAACAATATACATATATATAATTTTGTGTCACTAATAGATAAGCAATATTTAACTATCGGTATAAATGAGGCATTGTTTTTGAAGAACAAAATGTCATTGTGTATGGCCTGCTTTTTGTAACATTAAACACAAAAGGACAACTATATTATAAACTCTGAGTGACAAGCCATGCAAAACACAAAGTTCAAGATCTCTTGAACATTATTTTCTAAAGGCAAATAGTAAGTTGGAACCATATATCCTGATTTTGTATTAATTAATTTAAATTAAGAATAACAGAAAAATATTAAAGCTAGTAAGCTGTTGCACTTGAAGAATGATCTAGAAAAGTATCTTTCATAAGCTATTTGAGGCTTACAATGACCCTATGAAGTGGCCATTAAAAATTGAGGAACAAGGAGTTGACATGATTTATTAATAAACCACAGCCAGATTATCCCTGCTAATGAATATTCATTTTGTGAAAATATTTCATAATATTCTATAGCATCACAAATTAGACTGGTTAAAATATGCGACAACATTAATAAAACCATAAACTGATTCCTGTCTTTTTTTTCAGATAAAGTATTTCATACGTATACATTCTTCTCTGAATAATAATGCTGCTGCATAATAATGTGACTGAACTGATTCTCCTTGGGTTGACTCAGGATCCTGCTAAAAAGAAAATCATATTTGTCCTCTTTTTGTTTTTCTACTTGTGCACATTGGTGGGTAACTTGCTGATAATTATTACTATCAAGACCAGCCAAACACTTGGGAGTCCCATGTACTTCTTCCTTTTCTACTTATCCTTGTCTGATACCTGCTTCTCTACTTCCATAGCCCCTAGGATGATTGTGGATGCCCTTTTGAAGAATAACACCATCTCTTTTAATGAGTGCCTTTTCCAGGTATTTTCATTGCATTTCTTTGGCTGTCTGGAGATCTTCATCCTTGTCCTCATGGCTGCTGATCGCTATGTGGCCATCTGTAAGCCCCTGCACTACACGACCATCATGAGCAGACGGGTTTGCAGTATATTGGTAACTGTCGCCTGGGTCGGGTCCTGTGTGCATTCCTCAGTGCAGATTATTTTGGCTTTGAGTTTACCTTTCTGTGGTCCCAATGTGATTGATCACTATCTATGTGACTTGCAGCCCTTATTGAAACTCGCCTGTGCAGACACCTATGTGATCAACCTACTCTTGGTTTCCAACAGTGGGGCCATTTGCACAGTGAGCTTTGTCATGCTGATGTTCTCCTATGTTATCATCTTGCATTCTCTGAGAAATCACAGTGCTGAAGGGAGGAGAAAAGCCCTTTCCACGTGTATCTCCCACATCATCGTAGTCATCCTGTTCTTTGGTCCTTGTATATTTATATACACACGCCCTGCAACCACCTTCCCCATGGATAAGATGATAGCTGTGTTTTATACAATTGGGACTCCTTTGTTTAACCCTCTGATTTATACATTAAGAAATGCAGAGGTGAAAAATGCCATGAGGAAGTTATGGAGCAAGAAAGTGATCTCAGAGTACTGAAGATGAATGGATTGGTTTGGTTTGGCCTAAAATAATTCAACAGAGAATATTATTTTCTGATTAGAGATTTAATAGAATACCATGTTGGGAAATGACAGATAATTTCTTCATAGACAAGATGAACATACAAACTGATCAGTGTTGAACCAATTTTATGTAGAGGAAGTGGCAGCATCACCTTGTTTAGAGGAAGAAATAGCAGCAGAAACAAAGAGAAATCTAAGGCCATTGCTTTAGATTGTTGGGTTCTAAAGAGAAGCAAAAATATGTATGCTTTTGTATGTATATACAAAGAGATTTATATCAAGAAATGGTTCACATAGTTGTAAAAGTATGTAAATTCAGTCCACTTCAAATCCAGAGGTCAGATGTAAGCTGAAGGCTTATCCTAAATCCTGTAGCTGCCGAGACTGACAAACAGGAATGACCTACGGAATTCATCCCAGGTAGGATGAATGTATCCAGCATCAGCTGTGTTTTGATGGCTCCTGAGATTGCCAGGTAATATAGCAGGAAATTAAAGAACCAGATGCAGCCCAGATTCAGCACTAGAACCTTCCACACACTGACAATTGATATGAAAAGTAGGCCACACCCTAAATTGCATCCACTTTCTATTGTATCTAGGCTGTGACTGGATTAAGAAAGTGGCATTCTACCCTATTCTTTCCCAAACTCTTTTGCTGCTTTACAGAAGATCCCATCGTAAACTGACCATACTTGGTGAGGTTACATCATGAGAGAATCCAGTCCCACTCACAGTGACATAAAGCCTAACAATGGCACTACTGTCTCTGTGCCTCTCTTGAATGTCAAGGACTACCTGTGGTTTTGTTCAAGTGTTTTCTCTGTCCTTCTTCATATTGATTTCTGATGTCAGCTGACTAGTAACCTAAAGGTTGGCAGTGCAATCCAACCCAGCAGCGCTGCAGAAGAAAGGCCTGGCAAAGCTGCTCCCAAAATTATTACAGTCAAAACACCCCATGGGGTGGTTCTGCTCTGTACAACACGGGGTTGCCGTGAATGGGGATCAAATAAGTGACAATGGTGTTTATTTGTTGTTATTATCATTTCAATTATCATGCCAGATGCTGATCTTTCTGCTAGATATTCTCTTTTTACAACTGAACATGACAATTTTCAAAAAAGAATGGGGATTTGAGAGAAACATGTATGTCTTAGAGAGAAAATTGTAGGTTTCTATACTATTCAAATAAGAGAGTGACTTAAGTAGAGGGCACTGAAATGTTCATATGACATGTATGTTTCTGCCATAACATAGGGAAAGATTCAAATCTTTGTCATTATCCAGATAACACCACAATCTTTAATTTCATAATAAAGAAATTAAGTTCAATTGTATTCTTTATTTGTATTTTCCTCCACACTGAAAATTAAACATGAGGGTTTTTGTTTATTTGAGGCATTGTTTCTTTTTTGTAATAAATTGCTTAAAGTTATTAGATTGGTATGAATTTTAATTTACTAAGCACTTTAACATTTATTTCGCTTGAGAAAATGTGTGGACATGAAGCCTATGGGTTCTGCAATGAACTATAGTACTATCTGTGTAAACATTTTGCTTGGTGTTTAATTCTGTGTACTTCACACTAAAATTCATCTCACTTGGATTATCATTGATTACTAAAGCTATGATTTTATTTCAAAATTGAGAGGTTTGAAGAATAGTGGATACCAATTGGCAGAGTTTAATTTGTGTCTCCCTTTTCACTACATGGAAGAGTTAAAAACTGTATGTGATTCACTTTTGTGCCCCTCAGAGACATTCCACATATGACATTTCCTGGACCTGCGCTCAGTCTAGAATCCCTGTTCTCACTGCCACTGCGTTTCCTCAAGGAGGAGCCTGTGCTCCAGCTCAGTGTCAGATTTCCCAATAAAAGTAGCAGAGCTGCAAAGACAACAGAAGGTGCTACCTCAAGAAACTTTCTTTGTTAATCAGGACCACGATAGAGAAAGATTGAGACTCGGAGAGCTAAAATAGGAACATCTTTGTGAGGAATGTAAGAACCATGGACCCAAGTATTCTTAATAAAGGGGGGTGGCACCCTCACACAAAAGGACTGTCTTCCGTTGCTTTGTTCCATTTTTGGTTTCCCGAATTGAAAATTGGTCATGCATTAATACTTACTCTCCTCCTGTGCTTCCAAACAGCTAACCAGTTAAAACTCAGAAAAGCCAAACCAATAAATTACAATTGCTACCCTTTTAGCAATGACAGTACATAAGGGAATTGTAATACCCAGCTAATATGTACAGTGAGAAATAGGGAAACACTTCACGAGAGAAGTTGATCTTGAAGTTTTGGCATAGGGGTAGAGAAAATTAGTATGGGGATTAGAAAAAAAATTTTTTTGCAAGAGGACACTCATCAATGATCTGAGATTCGGTATTCTGGCAAGGACATCTGGGGTTGGATCTTTAAAGTATATGCTTTATGGTGTTGTAATATTTTTTATTGTTGTAACAAATTATTACAAATATAGTGCTTTAAAGCAACACAATTTACTGTCTTAAGTTAAAATAGGGAAAACCACAGTTATCAGGACTTTTGCCTTACATGGATTCACAATCAAGACTTCTTTAGTCTTGAAAAGCAAGGGTGTTTCCTTGAGACTTAAGGTGTATCTTATCCAACACATGGTATTTTTAATTACTTCCTATTCTTGTGAAAGTTGGACATTGAATTAGGAAGACTGGATGAGAATGAGCACATTTGAATTGTTAGGGGGCCATGAGAAAGAGGAAGAACTCAAAAAGATGGATTGGCCCAGTAATTGCGACGTTGGGCCCGACTCCAGCATACGAACAGTTGTGAGAATGCACCATGACTAGGCAGTGTGTTGTTCTGTTGTGCAAACTTTCGTTATTGATCAGGACTGACTCAATGGCAGCTAACAACATCTAGTTTGGAAGTTTGACCTAAGGATCTTGGGATGACAGTGTCAGGGTGGCTGTGTGTCTGTTGCAGTAAGGTACCACAGCGGTTCTGATTTTTCTGGTAAAAAAATTATTCAGCCTAGACCAGAGGATGTACACTGGTAC